AGAGAGAGGGGAAGAAGATATTTAAGAAATAAGAGAAGTATGGAGGAAGCGATTAACTAAATGGCTGAAGTGGCTCAGTGTCATGGGGATGATGTATCAGTTATCTGGGACGAGTCGGAGCTGTCAGCGATGCTAGAGGAGTTCTTCCTCAACGATCAGTTGGCGAGCAAAACAGAATGGTCGGTGGAGGAAACCCATGCATAGGAGATTTAGGAAAGGTTAGCAGTGCCTGTGGCTAGTACATCGCCAACAGTGGCAGGGGGCAGTAAATCCATAAGTATGAAGCCCAAGAAGCGGACGTATAACAGAAGAGTGTCGGGCGGTCCATTGAATTATTCAAAGCTTGTAGACCAGGTGCGAGAAGCGCTGAAGACTCTTCAATGGGATAAGTGAATACGGGAAGGTGAAATAAAGGAACATGACATGAAGGACGCTTCATGTTTGGAATAAATAAAGCGGAAAGAGAAAGAATTGCAGGACCTGAAGAATGTCGTGAAAACAGCAGTAGGTCGGTGGTGGAAGGTAGAAAGCGAGTGGAACAGGTGGAGAAGAAGTTAAATGAGTTGCAGACACAATTGTTGAACATACTTAATTAATAGTGTAAATACAATAATATAAAATAAAGGTTGTATTATAAGACGATTTTGTTTAATAATTTTACTTTTAAGAAAATTATGTTGTAAAAAAAATACAAATACAAATGTGTTATAACATCTATCTCAGGACAATTGAACACGCAAATTGTCTTTGTAAATTTGAAGCTTCAATTTGTTAGGACACAGGCTTGTCGACATATCGATTAGCTTGTGATTCACCTATATACGCGATGTATAGGTGTAGTGTTGCTGTGAACGCGTGAACTATTATAAAATCGATTCAACCTGTCTTGCGCGTGTCAGGACCAACATCAGAAGTGTAGTGGTTGCAATGCAAGATTTTTCGACGCCTTCGTGAGAACTATGACGTTGAAATAGGATTCTGTTGTCAAGAACGTCTTAATAACATCTCTACTTTTTTGGTACAGCCGCAGAATGTATCACGTCGGTGTTGTCAACTGCTGCTGTCGACCTTGTCGTCAGGGGGTTCACTGATACCTGTGCGAAAAGTTGGGTTTAGTTTATGAGATCGATGATACACACACACTTTCCTGCCTGCTCTGTACTACAGGAGAGCAAAGGCGTCAGCTCTTTCGATTCCTTATGCTGACTCCAGCCTTTTACTAAGTTTTCATTTCATTATCTTTCCTTTTTCAACATTTTCAACCTTGACACACTTCTCCACGTATATACGCCACTATTATGTCTTGTGATCATTAAGTCTATTTCCACACTACATCATTATTTATTTCATAACAACTTCCAATATATATACATGGTTTATGCTCCTTCAATATCTACAATATTGTTGCAAACTTGCTTTATATACCCTTCTTCAAATACAGCCTTCCTTCTTATATGATGGTTCGGAGTGCGAACTTCATCACGGAGATAAACCTCTAACACCCACAGATTTGCCACTCGTGTATACAACGATACTATTGCACCACTATTCGCTCCATATCGACAGCCCCCGCACATCGGTAGATATCGAAGGTTATTCCAGTCGCAGTACACAATGTATGCAGAACATGCTTTGGCGTTAATTTTACTTTGAAATAGTGTGCGGGTAACGCTGAACTCTTTCACCCGGCTGACGTCACATGTATCTCGTTGATTTATTTTCACTATACTGATGTCTATCTATATAGTTTCCTCGATGTAACACAACATTACGATATGCTTTGTCCAATACCTCCATATGTTCCACATTATTCCAATATTGTATTACAGCTATATCACCACACACTTCATGGATACAGCTGCTGCTTCTTACATCCATTCTCACACACCAACCCTTACGACACTTCTTCCTTTTATGTACAGCACCCCTTAGAATTTCCATTTAAACCTTGTTTCACTCAACCAGCTTCTTCGTCCTCCCAACTGTATCCCCACCTTTTCCTCCAAACAATTACTACTTTTCAAAATACTTTTTCTCTGTGGTAGAAACATAACCAATACATGTGGACATGCTTACAGTTAATGACATCACGTGATCATATGAAAACATTCACCACTACATGTTTAAGATCGATGATGTTACTTCAAACGGTTCCTCACTCCTCTGTGCCAGAATCGGTTATCTTACACTACTAATGTGTGTGCATGTTTGGGTTTTTTTTATTGTACTGAATTTTGTTAAACGAGTTACTGCTAGATATTGACTTTCTTCTAACAGTAGAAAAAAAAATTCAAAACATAGTCAATGACTAGTCGTCATTTTTTCTTCCCTGAAGACATTTTTGAAACAATCCAGACCGGGCTACTGCAGGGTGAAATTGAAGATCTAATAGTTTTACTGTCTAAAAGTTTTTGAATCTGAATTTGAATTTCCTGCTTTAAATGATAAGGATAACGATACCATTTACAGTATATTCCGTCGTCATCTACTGTCCTAATTTTATGCTTTATAGTGTTTGTAAAAAAAATATGAATTTTCATTAAAAAAAAAAAAACGTTTTTATATTTATTGCAATTAGTAATTATTTCTGTTTTTTTCTTCAAGATTTAAATGGTCTGTCCTAATTACCTTTTTAATATCTAAGTCTATCGTGGTTTTTTAAATTCTACATTTACGAGGGGCGTTACATTTATTACATTTATAGGAAGATGAAAGTTAATTTCGATATGTTAATCGTCGGGAAAAGGTATTTTACAAAAGCTGTTACGTGATTCTGCGATTGACTCAAAAATACAAAACTTATCTGTTCGAGTTTCGGGAATTAATACAGGACCTTCAGAAATATTAACAGGAATGTAAAAAAAAATTTTGCTGTTTGTCTAAAAGGCTTAAATTTTTGTGAATTTAGTTCTGTAAAAAATGGNATGTTTTTCAAATTCGTAAATTTTATCAAATATGGTTTGATCAACCACCGCATATTCATAAAACTTGTGAAGCGTCTCCAATGCCATTAAAGCTTCTCATTTTTTTGGAACCTCTCTATCGAAAATGTATGATTGGCGGTCTTCATCTTCACTGTCATTTTTGTCAGTACACGTGCTCACACAGTTTTCAACGATATCGTCGTCGGTGTATTCTCCGGCAGTAGTCACGTCGTCGTCAATCTGTACGAAGTCTTCAAAGGTTGGCGTTGACACATTACTAGTGGATCGTGGTACACGAGCTTGGCTCACACATCATTGCTAGGTCCAACTTTAAGCTCATTTTTAAGTTAAGCCTTATTGTGCTTTGTCAGAATGTCTTGTTCAGCTGGACCTATACTGAACCCAGCATGCAACATCACTTACTGTGTATCATGCTCTTCTTGCGAACTTCTTAGCCAAAACTACATTAATTTCAGGGCTAATGTTTTCTTCCAACCAGGTAAGCGTATGCTTTACTACTTCTCTGCGATAAATCCGTTTGAATATGTGAATAATACCTTGATCTAAAGGTTAAAGCTTACTGGTGGTATTGGCAGACAAAAATTTAACTGTGACATTTGTAAGTGTTGGTAAGTTCGTATGTGCAGTATAGTTGCCAATAAAAAGCACAATTTTTTTTCGCTTGTTCTTCATTTGCTTGTCAACTCTTTTTAACCAATCTTTCAACAATTCCTTAGTCATCCAAGCTTTTGTATTACTCGCATTATCAACGGGTAGAGTCTTGACATCTTTAAATCATCTTGGTCGCTTAGATTTCCCAATGATTAGAAGTGGGAGTTGGTCTATACCGATCATGTTAATACGTTGAAGATTAGTAAGGCGTTCTTTGCTTTGTTTTCCTCCGTGACATTTTTCGCCCTTGAAAGTGAATGTTTTATTTGGCATACAAATGTATGAAGAACAAAACAGTTTCATCGGCGTTATAAATACCGTTTGGATCATATCCTCCTAAAAGACTGGGTAAATCTTCAATCCATTAGTTACATACTCCCTGATCGACAGGTTTACTTTCGACTGCTTTTTTGAAATTTATATCATTGCGTTTTTTAAAACCCTTGAGCCGGTCGTTACTAGCAGAAACATTCTGGATTCCTAATTTTATAGCGAAGTATTTAGATTTTAGTTTCAGCAGCGGTCCATCTATGGGAATGTTGTTATCGAAGGTTTGTTTAATACATTCTAACAGGCACTTTTCAACGTCGGGAAACTCAGAAAGCCGACTTCTCTTGATATTTCCGAGTCTCTCACAGCACTGAGACTTAATTAATTCTTTTGATTTCATAATTTTATAGTAGGTGGATTCTGCTACGCCAAACTCACTCTGAATTTAATTTCGTGATTTCCCAGATTCAAAAGCAATCACGATTTTTAGTTTGTCACTTAAAGGCAAATATTGATAAACAAGTCGGTACGCACATTTGGCTATAATAAAGTAATAAAGACTTACTCGGTCATTCAAATACAACGTTAGTTCCTAGAACTATAGAAAACAACAACAGACGCACATTTGGTCATTCGAATGAAATAAGAGCCTCTTGAAATTTAAGAACGAGTCATAAAATAACAAAAGTAAACTGTCGCTTGTAGAGGTATAGGCAAGTAGCAATCTTACTTAAAGAGGTTCACGCATGAAAAATGACTGTCACTTATACAGGTTTTATGTTTTTCACTTATAGAGGCTTTAGAAGGGCAAAATGACGGGACCTGGCAAATACTCTCATTAATAGAGTTTTCTCGCTTACTCAGTTCTCATTTATCCAGGTTTGACTGTAACAGCTGACTGTAATACCGATATGCGCATGCGCGCCTTTCTATTCTCTTAGCCTATCGTTTCGCGAGACGAAACGTTGTAAAACGTGAGGTTTCATGGCCTTGAAATTTTACTGTCAAGCCCAAAGAAGTTTTACTTCAAAAAATACATCAGTGACGAATAAACCTGAACCAATGAGCCATCGTCATGTCTTGTTGGCAGTTGCAAGAAATTTCACAAACAGTATATTTTACTTGTATTTTTAGGTCCTGTACCCTTCAAACTTCCTCTTCATTGAAAACGTTTTCTACAATGACCTAAGAGCAACAGGATCGATTGATTATTCAGAAGTTATAAGAGAATGGGCGAAGGAAAAGAACATAAAGGATCTGAAGACAGCAGATATGGATGGCGTAAGGAAATTTAAAAATATATTTCCGGTATATTGCTATGAGTCATGTTCAATGTTTTAACTTGGAACGTCTCTATAATTTTAATTATTTAGACAATGCCGTGTTTTCATGTTTTCTGCACATATATGTAGCAACATCTAGCTACTTATTGTTCGATACCACACACGACATGATACTCGCGAAATGCTCGTCTACAATAACTCGAAACAGTTACGTGTGTCCTGAAAATACAAATGGGGTCGTGTGGATGAAACATTCCAGGGAAGGTGGCATTGTGCTAGCTAGTGCATCATAATTTAAAAATTAAACAAACTGGAAAAACGTTTTTTTTTTTTGCAATTTAAGAGAAAGTTAAATGAGAAAATTGTAGACTCATAAAAACTTATGGAATGCAGATAAATATTCCATGCTTATTTACCGAGAAAACACTGGATACTGTTTGTTTTATAGAACATTCATCAAAATTATAATTGAGATACACTAATATTGACAAGAAATGAAGGCGCATGCATTACTTGAAACGTGCTTTTCCACAAGTATTTTTTTGTATCAAAATATGTTAAAATATTGCAGCAGAAAATGACAACTAGACACTTTGATTAACAGGAATGGCCAAGAAAAAATGAGTTAAATACAAAGCGCAAACGAAAACTAATAATGCTCTAGCATACATGTATTTTTACGACGTCATCGCTACTATTGGTTGTAAGATGTCGATTTGGTATTACACATAACTAACTGAAAAACCGTTTTCCACTTTCTTTTTTTTTTAAGTTATGTAATACACCAGCCAGCACGATGCAGTCTTCCTGGAAATTCTTTCTTCTACAGACCCCATTTTTTGTTTCCCAGTATAATATATATCATAAAATGCCTTTGTTAATTTGTACATGCATCTACGACCTCATCATCATCATCATAAGGTCATCAGTCCTAAGACTGGTTGGACACGTACCTCCACTCTTTCCTATCCTGAGCTAAACTTCGCATTTCCCTAAACCTAGAACAACACACATCCTTAACTATTTGCGAAGAGTAATCTAATCTAGGTCTACCTCTACCCCTCCTAACTCCTGTTTCTGCCTCTAATATGTCTCTGACTAGACCTTCATGCCTAAGAAGGTGTCCTACCAACCTATGAAAAATGAATTCGTATTATCTATGTAGACCAGTGGTTCTTAACCTCCTACGAAGGACCATTTGTCTTGCCAAGGACCACCAACCCTTTGGCTAATAAGCTTGTTCTATAAATAAAACACGTATAAAATTATTCAAAACTAAAAGTACTTTTTGTACTTATTTTATTTTTATATTTTGAAATTGTTGTACCAATTACATTGTTTTACTGGAATTTTTGTGGTTACAATGTCGACAATCGCATCCAAGTGGTTCCAGTGTTAAAATTGATACCGTAACGTAAAGTACCTTCTTCTTAATGCTACAGAATATGTTTAACAAATGTTGTACCGAATCTTTAATATTGATGCGTCGTCGACTCGTCAATGGTTTAATATTTTTAATCATTTGTACGGGTGCTTTCAGGGAGCACCGGTTAAGAACCATTGATTGTGATCTGTTGAAACTCTCAGACGTGGGCCACGATTTCGTTCTCGTCAGCACGCCATAGACATTGACTACAGACAATATAATGATCGTCACCTGTATTTATTGACGTAGGTAGTTATTTATTGAATTGTTTCAGACATTCGTCAAGGATTTAAAACCTCGCATCGGTTATCCATATGTGTATGTGCACCAAGGCAACTGTGAACACCTAGTGGTCTTCACCGACGCTCGTTTGCTCATGAAAGACGACTGCCTTTGTCCATATGACTATCCCTACGTTATGACAACGAACCGGCAATACTCGAGGAAATGTGCCATTTGCGGTACCAATAACGCACAAGTTGTTTGCACGGAATGTGACAGATTACCTAACGAACATATGCTTATGTGTCAAGAATGCTTCGACTCTTATCATTACGTCGACGGCAGGAAAATCGATTCTTGCAAAGCGTATGCGTTTTCTGAAATAATTGAAGATGATAATGATGATAAATAATTAATCGTTTAACATAAGAGTGAAACTAAAAATAAGTAATACTGAATAAAAACATTCCGAAAAGGTATTCTATTTGTTTCAATAAAAACTGCATCTCAAGTCGATGACCTGTCCATCAACTTCTTACCACTTTTTGGCATTCGGAACGTCTTTCTAAATCATTCTTCAGCTAAAGAAGTTAGAACTCACCCCTTTTGTCAACTGTACCAGAAGTTGTTAGACCTTCTGGAATTATCGTTAGATGATGGGGTAGCCTATTTAAGTTTGAATTTTCCTCGTAAAGTTTATGCTTTTCAGAAGGAGTGGGAGAATATGGAAAAGGGGTGATGGTATTAGGAGAGAGGGTCTAAAGATATTTAAGAAATAAGAGAAGTATGGAGGAAGCGATTAAGTAAAATGGCTGAAGTGGCTCAGTGTGATGGGGATGATGTGTCAGTTATCTGGGACGAGTCGGAGCTGTCAGCGATGCTAGAGGAGTTCTTCCTCAACGATCAGTTGGCGAGCAAAACAGAATGGTCGGTGGAGGAAACCCATGCATAGGAGATGTAGGAAAGGTTAGCAGTGCCTGTGGCTAGTACATCGCCAACAGTGGCAGGGGGCAGTAAATCCATAAGTATGAAGCCCAAGAAGCGGACGTATAACAGAAGAGTGTCGGGCGGTCCATTGAATTATTCAAAGCTTGTAGACCAGGTGCGAGAAGCGCTGAAGACTCTTCAATGGGATAAGTGAATACGGGAAGGTGAAATAAAGGAACATGACATGAAGGACGCTTCATGTTTGGAATAAATAAAGCGGAAAGAGAAAGAATTGCAGGACCTGAAGAAAGTCGTGAAAACAGCAGTAGGTCGGTGGTGGAAGGTAGAAAGCGAGTGGAACAGGTGGAGAAGAAGTTAAATGAGTTGCAGACACAATTGTTGAACATACTTAATTAATAGTGTAAATACAATAATATAAAATAAAGGTTGTATTATAAGACGATTTTGTTTAATAATTTTACTTTTAAGAAAATTATGTTGTAAAAAAAATACAAATACAAAAAAATGTGTTATAACATCTATCTCAGGACAATTTAACACGCAAATTGTCTTTGTAAATTTGAAGCTTCAATTTCTTAGGACACAGGCTTGTCGACATATCGATTAGCTTGTGATTCACCTATATACGCGATGTATAGGTGTAGTGTTGCTGTGAACGCGTGAACTATTATAAAATCGATTCAACCTGTCTTGCGCGTGTCAGGACCAACATCAGAAGTGTAGTGGTTCCAATGCAGGATTTTTCCACGCCTTCGTGAGAACTGTGACGTTGAAATAGGATTCTGTTGTCAAGAACGTCTTGATAACATCTCTACTTTTCTGGTACAGCCGCAGAATGTATCACGTCGGTGTTGTCAACTGCTGCTGTCGACCTTGTCGTCAGGGGGTTCACTGATACTTGTGCGAAAAGTTGGGTTTAGTTTATGAGATCGATGATACACACACACTTTCCTGCCTGCTCTGTACTACAGGAGATCAAAGGCGTCAGCTCTCTCGATTCATTATGCTGACTCCAGCCTTTTACTAAGTTTTCATTATCTTTTCTTTTTCAATATTTTCGACCTTGACACACTTCTCCACATATATACGCCACTATTATGTCTTGCGATCATTAAGTCTATTTCCACACTACATCATTATTTATTTCATAACAACTTCCACTATATATAGATGGTTTATGCTCCTTCAACATCTACAATATTGTTGCAAACTTGCTTTATATACCCTTCTTCAAATACAGCCTTCCTTCTTATATGATGGTTCGGAGTGCGAACTTCATCACGGAGATAAACCTCTAACACCCACAGATTNCCATTTACAGTATATTCCGTCGTCATCTACTGTCCTAATTTTATGCTTTATAGTGTTTGTAAAAAAAATATGAATTTTCATTAAAAAAAAAAAAACGTTTTTATATTTATTGCAATTAGTAATTATTTCTGTTTTTTTCTTCAAGATTTAAATGGTCTGTCCTAATTACCTTTTTAATATCTAAGTCTATCGTGGTTTTTTAAATTCTACATTTACGAGGGGCGTTACATTTATTACATTTATAGGAAGATGAAAGTTAATTTCGATATGTTAATCGTCGGGAAAAGGTATTTTACAAAAGCTGTTACGTGATTCTGCGATTGACTCAAAAATACAAAACTTATCTGTTCGAGTTTCGGGAATTAATACAGGACCTTCAGAAATATTAACAGGAATGTAAAAAAAAATTTTGCTGTTTGTCTAAAAGGCTTAAATTTTTGTGAATTTAGTTCTGTAAAAAATGGTATATTATGGTATATATTCGGAGCTTTTATCTGAAAGTTTTCAAATTTTCCCTCTACATCTAAGTTCGGTTCATGTTCCTTTTCATAACTATCTTCTACGGGATGTTCTAAATAACCTTCGTATGAGGGATCCTCAGAGTAATAATGGGATGATAATATGCAGCATCTGATTCTTCTTCAGAAATGAAAGTAGGTCGGGATTGTGGTTTGAAAAAGTTTCGTTGTGGTTTAAGAAACATATTTCTAATGGAAACGGACATAGGACATATTCAGTTGATTTTTTTCCGAATACTTGACCTTGACTATTGGTTAGGAAATGTGGTTTTGATGGACGGGGTTGAATGTTTATAGGTCCTCTAAAATTTATTAGATAATTGTGGTTGATTGGAGGGAAGCATTGGGCGATTAAATTGAGGATAAAAATTTGGTCTGATATTGGGATTTTATGTAGGTTTGTGATGGTTTTCTTTAGGGTAGGAAACTGTTTGGAACGACTTCTCATGAAATTCATGAATCTGATCTAAGATTTATCATTGTCGTAATTTCTGCATTCATACACTGCATGTAAGAGACTACGTTACTATTTAGAAGATGACTGCAATACGGTTCAAGAATTCCTGCTTGAAG